ACAACTAAGTTCTCATCTAATTAAAACGTGTCAAAGTACTGATTCAAACTATCATCAAACCTGTATACAGATATAAGAAATGACTTTACATGGTCACAGCTCTGACACGCTTAACATCAGCTCCAAAATCAAAGCTGTATGCAATTAACAAATATAAGCATTAATATCTCAGAAATGTAATAAAGTAACCTTATTCAGTTATATGTATATTAAAAATCTTGTTACCACCATTTCCATTGTTTAGAGCAAGAACAGTGGGTGGTCCAGAAACTTCTACTTCATACAGTAAATCAGATCCCTAAAGACAGAGAAAACTGTCTTGAATGAGTTTTTTAATAATCACAGATGTGAATAAAATAATTACGTTTATCTACGTATGATTTACATAAGTTCTCAATACCTGTGGGAAAACCATTTCTAAGTCAAAACAGCATAAAGCTTATATAAATAAAACATAGGACTCATTTAAAAAAAAAAAATCTTAAAAGCTTATTATTACCATTTAAAAACTCATTTTACGATGAGATAGTCTGAGAATTCATCTGTCAGTAAGAAATAATGGTTTTATACTATTTAACATAACTCAGAACTACCACAACAATAATTTGAGAGAGTAAGAATTTCCCAACCTATGAACAGTTACACACTTAATTCACTTGTGTGAGCAGCTGTAGTTAAATGAAAAGGGATTCATTCGTTAACTACTTCCATCTATAAATTTCAAAGCCTATTTAGAGTAGAATTTTATTAATCCTTATTTTGCAAGTTTACAGTCATGATTTCCACAAAACAGAACTTTGTTTCTCAAAAGGAAAAAAAAAGCAGTTGCAGTACTATAGACAATAACGCTGCCAAACAAGATTCAATATGCTTATATTTATAATGTTTAAAACATGTTGATCCTACTAAGAGTTAGCCAGATTCTATGGCACCAATAAACAAAAGAAAAACAAGCAAGTATTTTAACCTGTAAAACTCTGAGGACTCTATCCTGACATGCAAGTATAGGTGTAATGCAATTCACTTTCTCTACAGGAAGGCAGAGAACATCATTGATTTTATCTCCTGATAGGTAGTAGTGCTGGTCTTTGCAGTCACAGTAATGGTTGTAAATATAGCTTGCACAAAGAAAGAGATCTGCTCCTGAAATATGCCTGAGAAAAAGAAAACACTTCCTGTAGCATTTTGCCAGTATAGTTACAGTGAGATTCTTTTAGCCTTACCAAATACATGCACTATGTTACTGCTTGTAGATTCAAAGCACTAGCATGCCATGTAAGCTATCCATGTCAGCAATTAAAAAAAAGTTTTTTTATGAATGCTAAAACTATAGGATTTATACAGCTCTCAAATTTTATCTCCTGTTTTCATGTGAAGTCCTTAGAGTACCTTTAGAGAAATCAAATTAATATATTTTGAGCATACTAATTCTTCTCAAGCTGGTTTATGTACAATTTCCCCCAAGCATCTTACAACAAAAACAACAACAAAAAAAAAGAATAAACAAGCTGGTCTTCTACAGGAGGGGTACAGGAACATCATATATTATCACAGCAATCCTAGCTTCCATCACCTCCATTTGCACCGAGGCAAGTGCCTCCACATCCCTCCCAAGCCCCTGTACGCTCACTAAACTTCACAGTAAGTTCCTTCCCACATGTCAAGCAACTGATACATGCTAACACTGGATGGGCACCTAGAACCATACACTAAAGTAAGAGAACTATTTTATAAAATCACAAACTAAAACTCCACTATGGATAACAAAATATATATATATATATATATATAAACACAATACATACATAGCTCTGATGCTTTCAGTGAGATTAGTCTCGAATGAAAGGAACTGCTTCCCTCTTTTTGTGAAACCTCTGACTTCTGAGCCTGTAGCCACAAAAATTTTCTCTTGCGGTGTATTAAGAGCTCCTCCTAACTCCAATCTTGCAATTTTTTGGCCTGGTAGTGTTTTGAACACTGGCTGTAAAACAGAAAAGTAATTTTTATCATCCTAATATTATTTTTACAAACATCTTTTAACACAAAGGACGATAAATCTACTCTACAATTTCTGGCAAAACAATGATACTACAGATCATATACAGACAAAAAAAAAACATACCGTACATTTCACCATCACAAAGAAATCAAGCATGTTATAAGTCATTACAAGGCTTTGAAATACAGTAAGTTAAAAGATCTTATAATTATATCATTATTTATCCAGATTTATCCAAGACAATTTCAGCATTGCTGGTAGCTGTGCAAGTTTTTTTTTTTTTTTAATATTTTCCCTCTTGCATATTGCATTCCTATTCCAGAAAAATTTATTTAAATAGAAAACGTAACTTACCACAGCTTCCCCCTTTTTTATGCCAAAACATGTAATCACCCCATCCTGATCTCCAACAACAACCTTCAAAAGTATAGTACATCATTATGTTTTATGATATCCATAAATACTTTTAAATTAATACTTTTCCTAAGTTAATCATATTTTTCTGAAACTTAGTAATATTACTAAGTTCTACAGTACTTAGTTTACGTAGTTGCATGGGATTACGCTTTAGAAAAAAAAGTATAAGCTGCTAGAAATAGGACATTAAGGCCTAAGAACAATTCAGATATTAAGCAATAGCACTTACAATCCTTTTTCTGCTTCTTGTTGTAAAGGCCAGACATCATCCGGTGGTACCCACAGAAAGGCATATTTGGGAAACAGTTGCATTTTCATATTTTGCATTTATTATTTAAAAAAATGCAATGCTGTTTCTGTTGAGTTTTCATAAAGAATATTTTCCTCAATTTGAACTTATATTAAAGAAAAATTTTAAAATAATTTGTCTTTTTTTAAGCAAAATAGAAATAGAGAAATATGCAAGACCTTCCTTGCAGTTTCAGCAACTCTTTAAATTATAGTGGTTCTGAAATTTTTCCTACGATTTACCAGCTAGAGAAACTCTAAATATGATTTATAATATTATAATGGTGTTCTCCAAAATTGGAAAATAAATGAGTAAGAAAAAACAGAAGAAGTTCTCTGCTGCTAAAACCCACTACCTTCTGTGTTGCCTTACGTCCTGAGGCAGGAAGAAGCTTCATAGTCTTCTGAGATGTTACTCCCACCTGTTTAAAGGCATATTCTTATTATTGAGCATTATTTCAACTCTGCTACTTAAACACAAAAAGATCAGGAGCAGTCACTGACTGAGGAAAAGCAATTCCCAACCAAGGGGAAGTGCAACACTTGGGAGTTGTCTAGGAACTCTTTAATTTGTCTGAACACACACAGAAACACCCAGCCCTGCTGAAACGGTGCTGGCACTCCCTAAACTCAGAATCCATCTACTCCAGAGCATACAGAACTATCATACTAATTCAGTATACGCTGTTTTCCCATCTTTACAGAGATTTGCCTGATCTTCTACCTTTATTTTAAGTTTTGTTTAGGTTTACGTTCACGAGATGGGAACCACTCTGCCAAACCTAGCAATTAAGCGCTGCTTGTCCTCAAAGGGACAGTTTGCTTACACAAAATTGTTTCTCCCACCTCATAAATAATAAAAACAAGCAAACAAACCAGAACAGCTACAAGAAATACTCACTCTGCACAAGCAGAACTTAAGAATTCAGTACTCAGTAAGGAGTCACCAGCACTAGCCGTCTTTGTCAACTGCCATTTTTCCAGCTTAGCTAACGCGCACCTACGCGTCGAGCTGAGAAAGCCCCCAGCCCGTCCTGTCGTTAACAACACCTTTACTAGGATGATTTTGACACTTGCTCTAGACCCCTCTGCCTGCCGCTCCGCTTTCGAACTAC